CGGATAACTCGCTTTTCTGCGTCTCCGCGCGGAAATTGCGGCGTTAAAGGGCCGAATAATTAACGAGCGTAATTACGCGTCCAAACTACTCGGGAGCGTTTCGAGCGCGGCCGCGCGACGCGACGTGTGCTCGATAAACTTTAATTTGCGCCGACAAAAAGTCCGTGCACGCAAAACTGCGTCGGCCGTCGTTCAACCCGCCGCGCCGCCGATTAGACGGCGCGCGCGCGCCAAGAAAGTCGGCGTACTCCTGGAGGAATGCAGTGATTACCCGCGACGCGTAATAGCCCGCCTGATGAATGCGCGGCCGCTCATTTTTATCGGACATAACGGGCGAACGTGTTGCGGCAGCTGCGCGGCGAACGCGCATATCTCGGCGTGTTATCGTCGTTCGCGTGTACGCACACGTGTCGGCGATATGCGAAAGGAAGATCGTTCTAACCACGGATAGTTGCCGTAGTGTCTCCCACGAGGAGGCCGCTTCCCTCGCGCATACCCCGCCGCAACTTCCAACATTCCGACTAATATAGGCTTCATGACAGCGCGGCGATAGCGATTAATTGAGATGACATAGCCGCTTATTAGCATGGCGGCGCAATATGCGGCCTCTAATTGCAAGGCGAATTACTCAAAATTCTTTGCAACGTCATATCACCGACTCTCCAGAGAGATCCACTCACGTCGGATCTCCGCGTTCGTCCTGAAATTCGAAACAGAATGAAGCGGACCGATGTCGCATGAAGCCTATTATTGTTAAGCTCGGCGAGCGACTTGACTGCTCTGGCTAACAATTGTCGATCGTCGCTTTGCATGATCCAACTCGACGCGCGTGTGACTGCTTCATTTGGTGTACGGGATTATAGGTTTCATGCGAATATAAATTCCGCGAAATAACATGAATGATGAAGGAGGCTTTTGCATTGTTCTACCTTTCATCGATCGACGGAGAGATTTATTTACTAATTTTTACCTGTCGAGCATAAATAAAAACCCGATCTTAGGTACTCATATTTTATTGTACAAGATATCGAGATTATAATATATTCTCTTTCTAGCTTCTTTTATAAAATATTCCAGCGAGCACGATGAAACAAATTCGCGAATAAAAGAGATGAAAAATGAGTCGTTGTCACATATCGCGAGGGAAATTTGATGTTCTCACTGTTGCTTCTAGATTATATAACAATGGAACACACTCTGGTTTTACGTCGAAACGCGCATGCATGCGTGCGTGGATGGGTGAATGAAAAAAGGCCGACGCATACAACTTTCTAGCGCGCGAACAACACTCAGACTTAATTTATGAGTAAAAAGTAACTTTCTTCACAGCCAAATATATTTCTTTCGGAAATTGAAGACTCTCTAACTGTCCTTGATCAAGTATGTCGCGCATTCTCGCGCTATTCTATGTGACACACATTCTCATTGATACAAAGTTTATTCCGGCGGCCATCACACTGTAGCTACTTGATGCTGAATTACTCCCACGACTCGCAATTAGAATAATCAACGCTATTCCCGCCTTGGGAATAGAAGGACAAATGTCATACCTATATTCAGTCACGTCGTATATCCACCTCCAAGCCGAGGAACGATTAACGAAACAATTATGCGAGCGAGTCTCATCGTCGTGCACCACCACGAAGGCAGTTTCTCTTCTGACGTAACTTCAAAACATTCAATGGACAAAGAATTCTTTGATCGCGCGATAAATCAGGGATAAATCAAAGTAAAACGCAACATGTAAATTAATATTATACGATGCGTGTAATATTTGATGCTCATCTCCCGAAATACACGATTGGTGTTACGAAGAGGCATGCTGCTCGGATCGATAAGTCAGCGAAAGAATTAATCAGGCGGCCATTGCCGATGAAAGACGATAAACTTGACGTATCGCAGGTGTGGCAGGTAGCGCGACGCGCAACCTGATGACGCTCGAATTCCAGAGAAAGTTAACCGCGATAACTCGGCCTGGGAGGAAGAGAGAGAGAGAGAGAGAGAGAGAGAGAGAGAGAGAGAGAGAGAGAGAGAGAGAGGGGGGGGGAGGGGGGGAGAGAAACGCGCGTACGCACACGTGCATTAAACAGGCGCAGGCGGCCGCAGGTGCGCGGGTGTAATGTCCCGGCTCCTACGGCGACGCGTTGAAACGTATTAATTTCAGCTGCAACGTGCGGCTCTCGAGTGACCGGTGGCGCGGCGGCGCGGCGGCGCTAATTTATCGCGCCCAACCTTTGCCGGGCGATTCGTTATGACCAGCGAAAATCTCGCATTACGATCAAGATCCATTATCGAGATACGGCGCGGCGCGGAAGGGCGCTGATTCACGCGGCTGGCTGTCGCTTCCGACTATTTTTCACGCGGAGTGCGCGACTGCTCGGCTGCTCGGCGCTCTTGACGCATGACGGATACGGAAAATTGCGCTTCAGTCGACCCAATCGGAAGAAAGCGCCGCAGGAAACCGAATACTTTTTGCGCGCACGTACGTCTCTCGAGGGCCCGACGTGCGAGACTGTACCGACGCACTTCGATATCGAATTATGACGCTTTCTACGTCGCTCATCGCGCACCCGAGACCGAGAGAGACATGGCGTAAATATCGAGGTGTGCAATTTTTCTGCACGCAGGACAGATGCAGCGACTCAACGACGAGTCATCGTCATTGACGCAGCCGTTCCGCTGCGAACAAGGGGTGTGCAGGGGTATTTGTTGCCGATGAGACGACATTGTGCCGCCGATAAAGAGCGCGCAGGGATGCCCGGCACTCGTAAATTTTTCCGCTTTCTTCATCTCGCCTCCTATACAAACAGCTTCAAAATACGAATAAATGAAACGTAAATAGTAACATCTCTTTTCATTCCGCCGGAAGGGACTTTGGAAATACTGAAACGTGGAAATGCATGCGAGAAAGCGCCTCGAGAACGCTACCGTGCAATATGCGAGGCAAACATCGGTTTCACGTGCCGGCGTATCTCTTTTAGCATATACATACATTTACGTGTCTGATATGCATCGGACAATGTTCTTCGAGGAATTCATGCACCCCGCCGCATATACGCGAGCCGACATTCGCGTACCGAGAGGGAAGAATACCTATGTTTCCCGAGAGCGAGCGAGTGAGCGAGCGAGCAAACGAGAGAGAGAGAGAGAGAGAGAGAGAGAGAGAAATTCGCGAGGGTTACACATTGTAGACGTCTTGCTTTCGGACTGAGCGATCAATGAAGTTCGTCTCCGAGACGTTGCATTACTCGCGCGCATTAATCTCTGCGATTCAAGGTACGCGCGCGTGCGATTCGACGTTCGCCATTACGGGGTACTTATCGTGCGCGAGCGTGAAGAAGCATTTCGCGCGAGGGAGAAATGTCCCTCTCTGTACGATTTGAAATACGTTCGGCCGTTTAATCGATTCGGCACATTAGCTGTACACGGCTCCGTCGCTATTAAATCAGCCGAGCGAAGAGAACGAACGAACAAATGAACGAACGAACGAACGAACGAGCGAGCGAGCGAGCGCGTGTGCGATTTTCATCGATCGCCGGAATTCCGCAAGCGTGTCGATCCCGGCGAGCCCTGTCGGCGGGCGATTTCCCGATGGTGAGCGACGATCGGTAGGAAATCGGTAGCGACCCAGTGTACGCGGCCGAGCCTAGATACAGTTTAGAAAGGCAAGTGATTCCTCCGAGCAAAAACGACCCCGCCCCGCCGTTCACTTTTCACAAGGAAACCAATTCCTCGGCTGTGCCTCTCCCGAGCTCTTCTTGACTCTTTCAACGGACGGAGGCCTTTACCCGCCGAGAGACAAAAACCTCGAGTCTTCACGCGCTGTTTCCAGCGGCAGTAATAAATATTTCCGGAATTTCTGGCGACTCCTGGCTGCGGAAGTCTCTCGAGACTCGGTCTGTCGTCCTGGAATAGATGTTTATAAAGAGGAAGAGTGAGAGAGAGAGAGAGAGAGAGAGAGAGAGAAAGGGAGAGAGGGAGGGAGAGACATGTTTCGCCAAGTTCCCACGGCGCGAGGCACATTACAATTAGCGCCGAGCTATTATACGAAGGCGCAGACGGAACAAGACAAATTTAGAATTCACAATCGGCTGCGAGACTCCACGCCGGTTCAGCAGCAGCAGCAGTTTTCGTGTATATACGCGGGCTTTATGGAGGTCGGAAATATCGAAATTGATCGCGTGCCACGTGATGCCGAAGAGCCGCCGCGCCGCTTTTCGTGCGGATTCGTTTGCTCACGAGACGAGGCTTGGCTTCGATCCTAATCTCGATAATCGTATTCGTGCAATTAACGAGCGTCATTTATCTGGCGGAATACTTTTATCGCCACTTGAGATTGCCGCCCTCTATTGTCCGCGAGCCGCGATAATAATGCAGCATTACAGATAACGTATTTTCCTTTGGAAATTATTAATCAGCGCTGACCGGTGATCCTCGCACCATATCGCATTCCTGCTTAATTAATTAGCGTCTGTCTCCTAATGAAAATTGATGCTACCGCTTCCGCGGAATATCTTCTTTGCGTGTTGCTCGCTTTTTAGGAAGTTTTCAATTTTCGTCAAGTTCGACGCGGAGATATCTTAATGCCTCGATGCATCCGTCAGTCCTCGAGTTCTCCTGTAACACCTGACGTTAATTAATTAACTACCAACTCTGTCTCAAATCTGAGCTGATAGAAATACGAAGCTCAGTTTCGGAGAAATCACTGCAAAAAGTTGAACAACAAAATTTCGAGAAAAATGCGTTTAAAATTCAAGTGGACGTATATTTATACGAATATTTGTTAATAAACAAAATTTTTCTACTCTTCATATGTTGTATAAATATACCTAAAATTTTCATTTTTGCACATTTATTCAGTTCGTCACAAAATATTATCAACAACACAAACAAGCACGATTTTTCAGCAATCTGACCTTCCAGTCCCCTTAATGGGAAAAAAAGAAGTTCGCATTCCGTGAGTCAAAGCTGAAGCAGCGTTTCTCTGATTTATTTCGCAGGTCCGCCGAACGAGTCACAATGGATGTTGAGACCGGGGCCATTCTGGCCCTGCAGATATTGGCTCTGTGCTCGATAGTCGCGGCCCTGCTGGCCTACCTGATGCGACAATCCAGGAATGCCGCCGACGAGTACGAGTCGCGTAACAAACGTCATGTACTCGTTACCAGCTGTGATACATGCGTGGGCCTGCAGATCGCCCTTGCACTCTACGAAGCCGGTTACAAGGTAATAATGGGCGCGGGTATGCGTCTGCCATAAATTACCGGCGGCACAATAAACTTCAGCGTACATTCGCCCGTTCTGCCAGCCGCCGATACTCCGGCCGTCCGGCTGAATATTCAAAATCGCGCGGCGAGAGTCGCGCCGGGTCGCGAACGCGAAGTAACGGTCCGTCGCTTTATTCCGTGGGAACTGTGCAACTCAACTTTTTGTCGCTCTGCCGGCTCTGCCACTGGCTCCTACGGGAAACCGCGAATAAGCAACTGTCGACAAATGCGGCTCCGCTGCGTGTTCGTCCATTCTTCCTCGATGAAAAACGGTCCGGGCGTTCCCGGACGACCGTCCCGAGGCCGGTACAGTCGCGTCGTCTTTCTAAACGTCGGATCTGTGTTGATGAGTGCGGATTACCAGGGGGAAATCAATTCTTATCTTCCTCCCTACAACGACGGCCAGAGACTAATCCCGCGTACAGCCGCTAATTCTCGGTAACACGTCCGTGTTAAAATAGGATAGACGTCCGGTACTCTCTCCGTACGTCCGCCACTCTTACCGCGGTTTTGCGGACCTCCCGGCTAAAGTTAAGCTGCGCTGTGCGACGCGAGGACAACCGTTGAAACCCCCGCAACAACAATATCCCGCAGCCTTACGTCAGAATCCCTATTATCCCTTCGAGCGTGCAACATATTTCAGATTGTCGGAGCCTGGACTCCAAATTAGTTTCCTCGTGTCAAGGGAGCGGAACATCGGTGAGCCCTTAAATCAGTTCGGCCGACAGTCTCTCGACAGGTATTCACGTGTCCGACGATCTCGCCGAGTATATCGCGTCACCACTCAAGAGCCCCGCTTCGCCAAAGATTGCCTGTGAAAGATAGATACTCGCTAAAGTCAGATTCCGCCCGAGCCATAATTTACAGGGCGCGTTCCCCGTGCGGCAGGAAGAAATGCCAGCGCGTCTTGAACCCCCCTTGCGGTCTTGTGTCGGAATTAACCACGACATTAACGCATTCGCCCTCCTGCTCTGTTCCGTAGATTAATCTCCTTGCACATCGACAGCAAGCTCGTTATCAAAATATATAACGCTGTAAGTGTATATTGTGTATATCGCGTTGGTCAAATATTAAAGTGGGGACGCGAGCCATGCGATATCGCAGCGAGGCGGCATTATCGAGTTTCCAATCGGGTTGGGAAGAGACGGAGAAAATAATTCGGAATGAAGCAAAGCGTTACAAAGAGAACTCCAAACCACATGGAACAACAGCCACGCCCCTCCGCGATTTGCGCGCGCGAATACTCGCAAGAGTCGACAAAGCGACTTTCTCCAAAATGCAACACCTTTTGACATTTTCATTGACCTTTAACGTTGCATAATCCCGTTAAATTAGTGATTCGTAATTAATCGGTTTACATTATTCGCGTACTTTCCAAAAATGTTCATCAAGGCCGAGCAATAGAATTTTCACGCTGCAAAGGGTTCGAATTAATGTAGGTCACTTGTATACGAATTTCAATTGCAGCTCGATCGTTCCACGCATCCGAAATTCGTGTTCTGAATTATCTATTTTACCTTTTGCAACAGCAAGAACCGCCCCCAAACGCTCCCTCTCAAAGGATTGCCGCCGATTTAAACGAGAGCTCTTGAGCGGCTGAAATGACTTTCGCGAGTAATAATTCAAAGCAAAATTAAACGAAGAGGTCAGACTTTCAGCTGACACGCAAAATAATTTCAAGGTGTCAAAGTACCTTGGAGATATACGAGACAGGCTGCAGCGACACGCGCAGTTCGGCACGTCGCTGCCGTCGATTTTGATATTTTGAGCAAAAATTCAAATTATCCGAGCGATTACACACTACAGTCGATTCGCGCGACGATGTTGCCTCACGTTAAAAATACGCTTTCGCCGTTTCACACGCGACGACGCGACGACGCGTGGAGAGTTCTATTTTAATCGACCGCAGTCGGCTTTAGCGGTCGATTGGAATCTCCGTCGGGCGTTATCGCAGGAATTTACTGCGACATTAAGGGCAGAATCCAGCTTTAGAGAGAGGAGAAAGGTCTCAAGTTTTTCAGCGCTTATTTGAGCGCCGCTCCAGTGGTCGCGAACGAGCCGATGTGTCACTTAACATGACGTATCAGCGTCAAAGCGTAAAGCCGTATCGAGCGGTGTCGATACGGCGCGCGTGTAATGGAGTGGCACGTGGAACGTGCGAGTTTCCGGTGAGCCTTCGGAATACAGGTGTAACGTCGTGTTATTCTGCGACAGGTGTTCGCGGGCTTGCTGGACCCGGCGGGCGGTTCGCCGTCGGTCAAAATCCTCAAGGCGGTCGAACTGGAGCGGCGGAAAGACAACGAGCCCGGCGACGCGAACGACGGTAATCTACAGCAAGCGGAAGGAGCGCGAGCTCGCGGCCAAATCGTGCCATTGGAGCTGGACCCGACGAGGGAGGACAGTCTGCGTGCCTGCTTGGACGCCGTCCGGGCGAAACTTCCTGCCGGCGAAGATGGCAAGATGATTTATTCATCCGGCCCGTTTCCCTCCTCGTCTTCGGTTGGGCAAAATTAATCGAAATAAATTAACCGTCGGATAAAATTAGTCGGGAGATAACTGCTCGTTCCTTTCTAGATCGTGGCGCCGACAGTAAAGTAAATAGTAAAGCGGGTTAACTAGGTTGAACTAATTAATCCATATGTAAGCGGATGTGGATTTTAGCCGGCCCGAGAGACCGGGATCGCCGCGTATTTTCAAAAATTATTCCGCTAAAGAAGCCAGTCAGAAAGTAAGCTTGTGAGAATATCGCCGGATGAAGAAATTGTACACTATGTAAACTGATACTATCGATTTAATAGTATGCTTTTAGGTTTGCGTCTGTACGAAAGCAGTTTCACTGCTGTAATATCCGAGCCTTTTCAAATCAGTGTACAAAGTTTATCTCTCGGAATGAGTCGAAGAAATCGGGTATTACATGCTCGTGTAAAGCAAGATAAATTGGAAAGAGAAATTTCCGAACGTGCGAAAGCCCCGTGCGCAAGCTTTTCGAAGCTACGTCTTGAAAGAAGCAGCAACTACACCGCCCGCGCCAAAGAAATTAATCAGTATTTGAACCTCTACGCGCAAGCTGTGCAAAATGATGCTTTTATGTGCGATCCGTAAATATTCGTGCGTCGTTTGTGCAAACAACGCTTTTAGCAGTCGCGTTTTCCCTGCCTTTGGTTTTGCATGCTTCACTTTATAATTATTTCGTCGACATTACGACTCTGTGTCCTATATAGATCTCGGGGCAATCCCGATATCGGTACTGGCGTCACCGCCGAATGCTAATTTCTTGTTAGATTATCCGTAATATTTCGTCCGAAGGTAAATAATTTTTAAACGCGTCTCTTCGTATGGAAAAAACATCGAGTGGCTAAATCACACATGTACGTTCGATTTCTCTGTAATTTTTATAATTTACATCCGGAAGAAATTACGTGCGTATTATGCAAATGTTACGCGAGAGAAGGCTACATAAATTTAATTTTTCAGTCTATCGCATACACACGCGAATTTATTAGTGAAACGTCTAAGCCATTTTATCAGCAGTGTAAATACATGGACAAAAGAAAAGCCGTTTCTTTCTTCCTTTAGGTTTTATCATGAGTTATACCGCGAGTTACGGAGCGGAAGTAACTCTGTGGAAAATTCAATATTACATTTCTATATACAGATTAAATTTATACTTTGCCATAATTGGATGAAAAAGCAGCGGCTGTTGTTTGTTCTTTGTGGAGTGCGCCAAATTTGAAAACATTTTTCTTCAATTATATAATACGTTATATTCGATATATACAATATTACTTTGCGGATGCTTTAGTGTTTCACAGCGGTGCAATTTTATTTTATGTTTCGTTTCTCCCCATGTTTTCTTTTTTTTAATCAACAATATGCATCGCGATAACTAAGTACATATGTCGGAAATGAAATTACTCTCGCGTCTCGTATCCGATGCATTGTGCGGACTGTAGCGAGTATTGTATGTTTGAGCAAACCCGATGTTTACGTAACCATAGATGCGTCGAAAGTTTCTAGGCATTCAATTTCACTTTTATATGCAGCTTCATTAGTTCTATTGTTGGTTATCCGCAAAAAACATCGGCGAACTTTGCCCGCCTGAGGAATTCACCTCGCGGTTGAATGAAATTTCGCGTCGAACGTGGGGAATGTTTCAGATACGGAATCAATGCCCGTTTTCATAATAATTCAGCCAGCTTGTTAGATTCGATAAAGTGCCTCGGGGCTTTATCGACATGGACCGGATAGATGTTGGTAAAGCTCTCACGTTTAAGAGAGGTCGGGGAAAATAGACGGGAGAGAGTCGAGGTCTCTCCGCGATAGATATATCCGCGAGAAATATTTAAAAACACACGGGCGCAAGAAAGAAGTCACTCGATGCTTCAGTGCATTTCCAAGCGTCGTTTTCTCGACGACGACAATGCCCCGGCGTGATTTTTCCCTTTTGCAAACGAGCATTTACATTCGCGCAGACTCGTCGCGCGACGCATCTCGCGCGATATACGTCCGACGCATAATACAACCAAGTAAGTTCGCGTAATGGGAAAACACGAGAAAATAACACACTTCGCGTTGCGCAGAGTAAATAAGCACAGACGTCATATTTCTAGATTTCCGCTATTCGTTGCAACCGCAAAGTGTCGGGCGAACGTATACACGTAACACGAAAAATGGAAAGGCGGTGCCAAATATATTCAACGCGACGTTGAGTTGGCGCAGCCATTAGGTGAATACGCATTTTTACTTGATCAGTCCGAGAGCCTTCCGGTCGAATGTGCGACATCGAGCGCTGAATGGTCATCGTGAAATCGTAATTTGGCGAGCTTGCGGCGGCGGCGTATTTATTCGCCATTTTCCGCTACTTGCAGCACCACGGCACGTTCTCATCAGAGGGCGCGGAATCAATACCGGCGAAATTCAAGTTCGCTAAAAGTAAACTTCCAGCCAGCCGCGTTTCCGCGCCATCCGGCCAAGACGATTGCTTCAAGTGCGCTAAAATGTTGAACTTTGCTTAATTGCAGGTCTCTGGGCAGTCGTGCATACCGGCGGCTTGGTCTTGCCCGGCGTCATAGAGAAGCAAACCAGTTCAATGTGGGAATCCATGCTGCGGCATAATCTGGTGGCCCCGCTGAGGACAGCCAGAGTATTCATCCCTCTCTTGCGCATTAAGAGAGGTCGGTGGGGAAGATTTATCAAGAAATTGTAACGGTCGAGAAATCATGACCTGTCGCAGCTTCGAAAGTCGAAAGGTTCCCTCTTCTTGCGCTCAAGAGAATAATAGCTTTCCGAAAGGCAACTTTGTCAAGCGAAACTTTATAAAAAGCTTTCAATCGACGTGATTGAAATGAATTACCATTTCAGCTGTAAATATTGAATTAGCCGCGTTGATTCCTCGCGCAATTAAGAATTGCAACTGCAATCAATCACAGTATCGTTCTCTACGAAAGATCGATTTATCTTTGAGAGATTTGTCTTTGAAGAAAGCACAGAAAGCTGAGAAAAGTAACGCGAAAGAAATTTCAATTCTCGTGTGAAATAGTCTACTCACTTTGCACTTGTGATGTTTACGAAATAAATATTTCGCATGTTTTATCTCAGTAAGTTATAATAACATATGAGATATATTACTTTGATCAGCGGGGGGGGGGGGGGTTAATGAATCTCCTTTGGAATAACATGGCTCACAGAGAGAAAGTTCAACGGGTCCCGGGTCGTCTACATTAAAATAAATCGAGATATCTCTGGCAGGCGAGGTTAATGAGAAATTCGCTCGTACCTCGAGAAACTCACTTGCTCCTTTGGAAGCTGCGGCAACGCAAAGTAACGGCGCGGTTTGTGCCTGGCACAAAGCAAAGCGTTCGACGGTGTAGCGGAACTGATTATTCGCCGCTAGCAAAACTACTCATTCTTTAAGCGGCTTATTGAAAATGTTCCCAAGGCCGCATCGTCCTTTTGGGTGATTCCGAGACGAGCTACGGCAGCAAGGCGGGCTCCGGACTGGTGGCGTTCAGCGCGTCCCGAAAAGCCGTGGAAGGTGCCGCCGAGGCGTTAAAAAGCGAATTACATTCCTCGGGTGTCGACGTCGTGCTTTTGAAACCGCCGCCCGTGAATCCCCTTGTTCTTTATGCATCACCCGTTCTCAAGACGTAAGAGATCCTACCTAGTATCACTTTATGACGGCTTGTTTGTTTGTGCGCTAACAAAGACGTTGAGAGAGTCGACTACGCTCGATTACCCCTACCGAAAGTTTGCCCCGGCTGCTTCACTACCGTTTCGGAATTCTCTTTCGCGCGATTCTCTCTCGTCAGCAGAAATAATTCCAATTTCAGATATCGCATCGTTACAGTCAACAGCTTCCTTCTCAATTGTTTCGCTTTCCGAAACGTGATAATGAGAAGGGAATTGCCTCGGGGGGGTCGCGCGAGTGTTAACGTGCATGCTGAAAGCTCGCTTCGACTATGTCGCGCAGACTCGGCAGCTATCGAGCTGCTCGGGCTCGGGATTAAAGACGCCAGCACTCCCAGCTTGGTCCGCTTGATGAACTCGCTTGTTATCAGTGATGTTTAATTATTTGCAGAGTGGACGTGGAGTCGGGCGTAACAGCCTCGGAGGGGACGTGGACGGCGCCGCTATCGATTCATTCCGTGCAGAACGCTCTCATCCCCGCGATCACAGCGTCATGCCCTCCGAACGCTTACGATATGTCCGTCAAGCCGAGGATCTTCTGCCGATAACTACTTGCTCCGTGTCGCGTGAGAATGGATAAAAATGTGCAAGATGCGGCGCCGTTCGTGCGTGAGCACCAACTCGAGTCGATGCGACATGCGGCGAACGGGGACAATGGAACACGGGAGATGTGGTACACGCATATTGCGATGTCACTTGCGCTGACGTGTCATCCGGGTATGCCCCAAGGCGTCATAATCGGGATTCTTTTCTACGCGGTTCTTCGCGGCAGGCAGTGCTCCCTGCGTGAACGTATGTTTCCTGGCCCTTTCAAGCGCGCTCGTCCCCGAGTTGCGAGTCGGTTTTGAATCCACCTCTTTTGTCTTTCGTTTCTCATCCGTTCTCTGTTGCGATATTTTGTTACGACATTTCGTATCGTCTCGAGGAGAGACGTTTGATCAAACAGCCGGTAATCTTCGTCGCTAATATCGCGCGGAAAGTGTCGCGTCCTGCTCTCCCCTTTGCTTCCAAGACAATCTAAGGCAAGTGACATCGGTCCAATAAGCAGCTCTTGTATCTACAAACTATTCTGACAGGTTTATCTCTTTTGCGACCATGTGTTTAATCGTGTTGCAATGTTACGAAAATCATCTTTGAAAAAAGTGGAGAATGCTACCAAGCATGAATAAGGAAAGAGAACTCCGACGAAAATGTACGTATGGTCGAGCGTGTATTTTTTATATATGTTTCTCTTTTGTGTATTTGTATAAATAGTAGACTTGTAACATTTATGATTACGAATGCGTCAATGTAATACTTTGCGAAAGTACCTTTTGTACATAAAACACAATTGCAATACGAAATTTTTGCGGATGATCAATTTTTGTGGAAATATGGTATTGAGAACGTAATGTGTGTACTAAAAACAATTGTACCGAGTTGTATTAAAAATTAATGTGTATACAATATGTTTATGTGGTTGCACTGATATAATTTTATGTATATACTTTGCCGAGATATGTATGAACAATATGTACGGAATAATATAGAATAACTTCGTATATATATATATATATATATATATATATAATATTCTACTTCTCCAAAATTTGATTGTTTATTGGTAATGGGAATATTTAAAGTATGATTATAACACGTTTGTATGTTACTTTTAGTATAAAAATCATTTTTGCACAGCGTGTAGCTTTAGCTTGTTTTATACAAAACTTATTTTTCACAAAAAATGAAACAAAAAACAAACTGGCAAATATGAACTATAACTTGAATATAAATTAAACACATTCATTAGGAAATAATAAATGGTTTTCGAGTAAAGTACTTGACGAAAAAAAAGTATAAAACAGAGCGTGCGCAGTTGATCGTAGAAGATAGTCGAATGTATGTATTTTGTACGAATAATATAATGATTTTGTAATTTTGCACAGCATGTTTATTTATGTAAGCACTTGACGCATCAACAGTCACGCTGACTCTTGCAAAATTTCTTAGACAATCATGCCTGGTCGTCATTGCGCGAATCGTGACAATTAAATTTCTTGCTGCATTAAATGCCATTTGATCCGTGCATTTTGCAGGTGTTAGCCGATTCTATAATCTGCCCCACGGTCGTAATTATTCCATTCGCGATACACAACTGGTAGTAATTAGAAACTGCATATATTACCTTTCGCGTCGCTGGTAGTAATTTCCATCACGAGTTTCACGGGTAACTCGGCAGACCGCATCGTGAATTATTAATTTGTGTGTAACTTGGCGCGCAATGCGAATGATAAAATTTCGAAGTAAGATCAACGCGTTGTTGCATAATGTTCTATGCATACACATCGGAGGCGAGCAATATCACTCTTCATTGCGTTGTCGTGATTACCGCGCTGGAGGTCGACTGAATCGTCTCGCTGCCGCCGAGTTTTGCGCAGGGTTCGGGAAACAATGTCGATGGAAAATTGCGCGGTACAAGAACGGCCGGTGCTTGATCGAGAAATTCGCGAGCGTGCGCTCTCCCCGTCCCGCTCCCCTCCGCCCCTCCGCCGCCGTCGAGAGAGCGGACAAAAATTTGCACCCGACCTGTGATTGCGTTACTTCTATGGCGATATGGATGAAAAACGTTGATTGACTATCCCGGCAATTGGCACGTAATGAACAAAGCAGTTTCACAAGGTGATCGTCGAGGTATAGCTGAGTGTTTCGCGAGATGAAGAGAAAAAATGTACGGAGCAATACACCACTACTGGCGCAACACCGAGCGAAATATTCATAGACTAGTGCACACATTTGTCGAGGGCGCGAGTGACTACCGTGCGTCAAATCACGCGACATTGATTAATCATTTTTTCACCTAACCAAACATTGCATTTCGACGAGCGAAAAGTATAAATCAAATTCACGGATGACACGACGATGAGGCTAGTGCGCCTCTTCCTCTGTGTGATTTTTCTTGATTATTTTCTTGCCCAGTTTTGTGATTAATAGCGTGTTGCTCGTGCGTTAATTAAAGGTCCACTTGTTAATCGAATTATGTGTTACATTATATTACCTTTCATGCAGCGAGAATGCATGCTGCCTAAACACCGTGCCGTTCATTATTCCGCTTTCAAATAGATCGATTATCTTTCGTCACCGACGCGCAAATTATATTTCTCAAATTTGCGAGTGACCGGTTGGTCACTAGAATCACAAATGATTGGCAGGTTCATTAATAATAATACTCGAGATTCATTGCCGCGACAAAAGGTATTGTTGTTAATCATTACGTTAGAGCAGGTATTTGACGTACAATCTCGTTGATAGATTACAATCCCACCAAACCCGGATATATCACACGAGTGTGTACGCCAGTCGGAAACGCAATAAATTCTCAATAAACTATATTGCTATGCTGGTATCCGGCTATTCAGCCGACATATTGACAGCCGTTTGTTTCGCTGCCTACGATCATCTCTATTTTACCTCTTATCAATTTCGGGGTACTCTGAAATTTCCATGATCCATTCTCTTCTTTAGCATGTATTAAACCTCAACCACTATAAAAGTTCCGTTGAAATGATTTATCGATTACGAACGGCTGCTATCGAAATTGCAAATTGCAAGAGTTGAACATTTATTTCCTCCGAGGGGAAAGTTTCTCAAATCATCGAGTCCTCCTCCTCTCTCGAACGTCGAAAGGCTTTTGATTCGTTCGGACAACAACAGATGTGCTTTCAAATGTATTCCCTTCGCTCTCTCTTTCTCTAGGAAAATAAGTTGCGCAATATACTCTACAAATTTATGCTTCTACATCTTTTCATACAGTTTTATACACTCCGCATAAAAGATTGACAGGTCAAAGCAAAGGGATCTGCAGAGAGAGAGAGAGAGAGAGAGAGAGAGAGAAGAATGATTGTACAATGCATACATATCTATTATTATTTCCTTGCCATTATGTTTCCGGTTGTAAAAGCGCGATGTCTATTCGTGTCTGGCAGTGACGAAGCTCGGGGTCGTACCGCGCGGTTGTTTCAAAGAATTATTATCATTTCTACGACCTGGCTGGTCGCACTTCTTACCGCGCGGGGTATCAGGACCAACCACAGGGCACGACAAACGAATTAATGGCTAAAAGGGACCGTTTTTGCCTGCTCCGGGTGACCGTTGCTATAAAACGACCCCGTTCCTTTGGTCCTGGGAGCAGTCCATTGGCGGTTTCCGTAAAGGAAGAAACATGGCCTTTGTGAAGGTAAACTAAAGTCGATAGCACGGTATTCTATACTGTACGTTAATACTCAGTTACGTGAGCTGCAGGCACGTGCGGAACATATTACTACGGGGCGTTTTGGTGTAACGGAAATTCGCGTTATAACAGGTCGGTCGAAGGCGTGCACGCGTCGCTTATAATTACATATTCTTACGAGCGAAACAGTGAAAGATGTTTGCGTCTTTTGCGGGTGCGTTGCGCGCCGTTGACGTCGTAATAATTGCGTATCGCGAAAAATATAACGACGAGAAGAGCGAAACTCGCTGCTGTCGGAAGCGGAAGAAATTTAGGGAAATTCGAACGTTCTAACGAAAATAGGACAGTCCATCTGTTTTGCTGTGGCAAAATCGCAATTGCCGATTCATAGAACGTTTGATGATAATTACATTAAAATTATATTATACCGTAATTTTAATACTGCATTAACCGTAATGAGAAGTGTGCCAACGTTGAGAGCGGTAATGTTAAACTAATAATTATTACCCTCGAGTAATAAATAATTCTCGGGAAAATTTCGAATGCGGACAACACGCGGCAAATCAAGCCACAAAAAGCACTAATTAGGGAAGGTAGCGTGAACATAATTAAACGTTTTTAATCAAAGTTTCCAATATCTTCCGTGTATCGTTAACGCGTTTACACAACGGAGCGTAATTTTCCTCGAGGTGGAAATCAAGGTGGAAATCGGCGGCTCGAGAAAGTATCACTGTGCGGTCGCTTTGTGTAAAAAGGCTTGCATAATGCCATATCAATCTTTATAAATCTTTCTATTTAGGGAATGACACAAAACGGACTTATTTATCCCCCCGCCGGCTTATCGAGATAAGCTGGTATTTTTGTTTCTGTTTCACGGCTTTCGGATCGAAGTCGATACATCGAGAGGTCCGCGAAAGAACGAGGATAAAGCAAAAATGTAAACATCGAAAATATTCCTATCAGTCTGATCAGACGGTGCCAAAACTTTTGGCTCAAAGTAGCCGGACCTCACTCGCGAAAATAACCGAAGCTTTCTCCTTTTGATATCCAATTCGCGAAAAGTGGATAGATATTAACTTTTCACGATTTGCCGCGGCGGAGGACCTCACTCTCGCACACACGTCCACTCACACACACACACACACACACACACACACACACATGTACGTACGCGAAGAATAACACGAAGGGCTCAGCATTTCTACCTGGCCGCGGGCGAAGAAGACGCGAACGGCCGGCGCAGCCCCGCTCGGCCGATCGATCCAATTTCAAGTTTCGCCGATCTCATCGACGGAAGAACGAACTCTGCCGGCTTCCATAAAACGAGTCGTCGGAGCCACCGCGCTAAACAAAGTATTACACAGTCGTGGCCGTAAAATACGACAGTGCAGCGTGTTTCGGAGGTCTTTACGTGAGCGGTAAAAGCGCCTCGCGGCTAGAGTCCGCGCACATATTCGCGGCCGGAAAGAGTAATGACCGGTCTCGTTTTCGGCAATTTTCCCGTACACGCCGCAACGTCCCAATGAAAATGAATTCTGCGCGCCGCGGCGCGCGCGTGGACCCTTCGATTAGATTTAAGGGATTAACTTTTCCAATTATTCGCGCGCGGCCAGCAATTTACCTTCAACAACGAACGGCACTTCGCGACGGGCATTGTCGGGCCGCTTACACGACGCTCGAATGTCCCTCCTCGTTTTGCAGGGATTGATTGTCTGCGTCGTCTCCGTCGCTGTCGTTGTTAAGGGTTTCCCGAGGATGTACGACGAAGACGCGGTGGGTGAGTGTCTCTCGCTTAATTTATGGAGTCGACCGACTCGAGAAGGGCAATTACACGTCGACGAAAGAAGTATTCAGCCCGCGTTTGACGCAGGCTTTCCCGTGCTGCTTGAACATTCAACATCGTCGTGTATATTTTACGCGTAAACGTCGAGATTCTTATTATCCTCGTCCCGACGACTCTCTCAGCTCTCAGAAGTAACGCTCGAAATTGAGCGGTACGTGCCTTTGTGGCGGTAATTGCTCGCGGCAGACTCGCGAGTACAATTTTTCACGGGACATTGCTTATAGATGACGGTAACGTCGAGGAACGGACGGCCGCGGATGTGGACCGCAACGGACACGCCGAGGATCATCATCACCACCACGCCTACTCGTTCCATCATTTTTCCGGGCCGGTGATGGGCCATCATGAGGAGATATCGTGGAAAGATAAGCACGGGCATCATCATCACGACTACAAGGCCCATCCAAAGTACAAGTATTCGTACGGTGTGGACGACCACCACTCCAAGGACCACCACGGGCAGAAGGAACATCGCGACGGTGAGCGCATCGATAATCAATAATCAATCGAAATATCAACGACGCCACACGCAACATCATGATACTCGCATCTCGGTGCTCTTCACCGAGTACTTGAATTCCTCGCCAATTCTCGCTAGGACCCGATTCCGATGTTTTCATCGCTCGATATTTCCCCGGAGGTTATCATCGACAAGGTTAATTTGTGCAGTGGTAAGTTTTCCGCCTGATATTACGTGCAACCTCGATTCCGCATATTGACACTGAGGTCGGCATAAAGTATCGATGTAGCAACCGCAGGTGTACAACGTGCAACATTGATCCAGAAGCAGCGAGGGAGCGCGACGCAACTCGATCTCGCGCTCTTAATTAGAATCTCGAAGTAATTGAATACCTGGCCGGGCTCTTAATTAGAATTAGGAAGGAACTAGTTTATTTCTTGTCCCGTCTTGCGGCCTGTTGAGCATACCGACCACTTTTCTGCCACATTCTGCAAAAACGCGAGAGTTCCCTCACGATTGTTCGTATCCGCTCGCGCGCGCGCGCTCTTGCTAAATTTCATTGTGAATGATACAAGAAAGAGCGAGAGCGAGAGCGAGAGAGAGAGAGAAAGAGAGAGACGGGGGGGGGGGAGAGAGAATGAGAGTTTATTGCGTTTATTTCGTTGGAAAGCTCTGTAGCAAATCGAGCGAGCTAAACGCGCGGGGCTTACGACGAAGCTATCTCAAGACGACGTACCTGGGAAACGCGTTAACGTCTGCGTAAATGCGCGTTTAATTGAAAGATGCAGGCACACAAGTTTCCGTTACATCTTCATTTAGCAGAAATGAACTCCATTCTTACGCCTCGTACGAGAATAACACTTACACGTGCACATGCAGGCAAATGTAAAGGTAAATTAAACTTTTGAAAGTCAGTGATGAATTACTGATTGGCTTTGGAGAGGTCGATAAGTCTGACGAGTCGCACCGGTGATGGCGTGGTGCGCGAGTAACCGTCATTTTGTGCTCAATTATACACCGGAATTTCAGGCAAACACGTCGAGGGCGAATATCACATCCACGAACCAGGTGGCAATGTCAGGAGCGTAAAGTATCACGCTGATCCTCACGGTGGATTTTACGCCGAAGTGCACAATTATGGCGGGAACGACCATTCGGGTGGTTCGCACGGTTAATAAAGGTCGATAGCTGGTTGATAGCTGAACGGAAGATGGCATAAACGAACAGCTATTAACGACTATCGGCAGAGCGGCCAGCGGAGGAGCTAGAAACGACTGACGAAGACAACGCTGCAAGAGTGCCTGCGCCTTTGTACAAACGCGATCGTAGCCGACATATTTGTTAAGTATTTAACCTGTTGAACGAGTGGACCGTTGCATCGATCCTGTTACCAGTTGTTGACGTTCCGTCTTTCTAATATTACTGGGGATGCAACGAGACCCATATTTTTACGAGTGAAAAATGGAAACGTATTTGTTGCGTAAGACAATAAAAACTATCGTTACGTAATTTGCGATTCATAATATTAGGTCAATCGGAAAGTTCCTTCCGTTTTTTTGCAAAACGTAAGGCTTTTATTTAAGAAACAAAATGAAAAAGTACATCAATCAAAATATTGTCCATCGTTAGCGATGACTTTTTTTCATCTTTCGGTCAGCAAGCGAATTCCGCGGCGAAAAAATGACTCATCTTTGGAGGTTATCCAGTCGGAGACCCATTTCTCGACGTCTTCGTAAGAATTGAAGCATTCGTCAGCAAGTGCGTGTGCCGTCGACTCAAACAAGTGGTAGCCGCAAGGAGCACAGTCTGGTGAATAAGCCGCATAACACTTCCCAGCGAAGTGCTTCCAACGTTTCCTTGACAGATTTTGTGACGTAAAGCCGAGCGTTGTCATGAAGCAAAATCATTTGATGCTGTCTCGTTTCGTATTCTAGTTGTTTTTCGTGCAATGCTCGGCTCAAATGGATCATTTGTTCTCTGTAAAGATCCCCTGTGACTATTTGACCACTTTTCAATAGCTCATGGTACAGCACACCTTTCTGATCTCACCAAATACAGAGCATTGCCTTCTTTCCGTGGATATTCCGCTTTGGCGTCGATGTTGAGGGTTGGCCGGGATCGCAAATAGTTTTTCGACGTTTGGGGTTGTCAAAATAAATCCATTTTTCATTCCCAGTGATGATACGATGTAAAAACCCCTTTCTTTGTTGTCTAGCAAGCAGAGTTTAGCAGATGGTTTTTCGCTTTTCAATGTCTCTTGGCTTCAGTTCATATGGGACCCATTTCCTTCCTTGTAAACCTTTCCTAAAGCTTTCAAACGATCGGAAATGACAGAATGAACACAATTTAATGCTTCTGCAAGTTGCTTTTAACATGCGTTTAACATGGGTCTTCATCCACCAATGTCTGCAATTCTTCGTCTTCGAATACTCTTGGCCGTCCAGAACGCTCTACATCAAAATCACCACTTTTAAAGCATCGAAACCATTCTCTGCATGTTTTATCGGAAGGAGCATTATCACCATAAACTTCTACAAGCATTCGATGAGCTTCAGCTGCAGCTTTCTTCCAATTGAAGCAAAAGATTAACACTTTGCGCAAATGACGCTTATTTGGCTCAAATCTCGACATTTTCGGTACAGTAAAAAACAATGTTATCGACGCAAACGTATATCCTTATGTAGCGAATGTTATTGACAGATGTCAAAACAAATCAAAACATTAAGCTTCGTTTAGAAATTAGAAATTAACGACAGTTCTATACTCTTCTTTATACCTTTTTTTTATACTCTCGTCCTTTAGATTCCATCCTCCCCAATAATAAAGCCATTCCGCTACTTCTTGTCATCGAAATTGCACAGATGTGAAAAAGCCGGCAGCCGCTTTTGCGCGAACTCTTCCCCGGGATTCGACTCCTTCCGGATCCCGGCGCGCTCGCGTGATCCTTCGCTTCATCAAAATGAGCGGGTCGGTTTCTGCTGACCGGATGCGGCGAATTGACCGATCGCTCTCATCAGCACACCGCAACATGTTTTTATCCAATCACGTCCCCGAGCTCTCTCTCTCTCTCTCTCTCTCTCTCTCTCTCTCTCTCTCGCGCGCGCGCGTGGGCACGCGCGTGCGCGCATCTACAACCTCTCGAGTCAGCAACGCGACGGACCGTGCAGGTCCTGGGCGTTGAAAAGCGGAGGAATCGCGAAATTTCCGGCGGCAGGTAAGCGACGGCGTGGCCGGGAGGAAGGGAAGGGAGCCGAAATTTCGCTCGTCGAACAATCGCGGCAAACGGGATTGGTCGCTCTATAAGGAGATCGGTTGGTCATTGTGTTACTGACCCGGACCCTGCCAATTTTGTTGCCAATCCCGTTGGCAATTTCGTTGCCAATCTCGTCGCCAGTTTCTAACGCGGATAATTGCATCGCGCAAACGCTCCGACAATTTCTATTAAGTTCTCTTAGCGGAGGCTATGCTTGCATGTATGTGTGTGGGTGTGAGGAGTATTTAGGTGTGGATAAACCTCCGTATTGAGATAGAAACGCTGAATCTCCTCCGAGCGAGAGCTACCAGAGCTGACTGGTGGGATAATATTGGCAAGTTAGCAATCGTTGCCCTTGATTTCGTCCGATGACCCGTCCGAGATCCGTTATCGTCGCTATCATCGCGTATCGAAGGACAAGCCGAGCGAGACATCGAGTGGATGATCTTGCGCAAATTCTGCGCGCATTTTGAGCAAACGGGCCCGTTGAATTCGTTCCCGACAACGAATCTCGGCAAATGCGTCTCGGCAAGAGAATGTCTGATCTTCGGAAGCGAATTCGATTCGCGAGAATTCCCTTTCCCCTTCGATGAAAAACACGCCGCCCGGTGTCGCGTTCATTGTCGCGCTAATTGCATCGGCATTTCGTCCCCGTTGAGAATCGGACGCGAGGGGAATTCACTTCATCGCCAGCGCTCAAGTTGATAAAATGATTAACAAGAGTGCGCATCGATGTCGTGTCAGCCGGTGCGGGAATGCACGCGACGAATGCGAGCACCTTCCACATACACGAAGACACGTCGCGGTGCGGATCGATACGGTCGTTACTAAAGCAAATGGACGGATTACGAGTCGACTGCGTGAAACAAGCTCTTTCTCGGACATGGGACACCTCCAGGGCCGGTTATTCCAGGCCTGACCTAGTCGATGCGCACGCTCCCGCGGGACGTTCCGCCAGAGAGGATGCGTCGCTGCCCGAGGCTGCACCGCGCGAGAGTGCGCTTAGCCAGTCGAGAAAATCGCAGGCCGATTATTTCGCGGCTACGTACACGGCCCCGAGGTCGATTCCGTTGGACGAAACACGCGTTTTACGCGCGCGAACGAGCGAGCGGCCACCACGCGGATATTCCTTTGCTTACCCGCGCGACCAAATCACTCGAAACTAACCGCCGCGACGAATCCCGCGCGCGCGCGCGAGCTCGACTTTGTTTGACGAATTATATCGGGAATGCCCAGCGACGCGCTTTCGCTTTGTCTTTTCGGCGCGGCTGTGCGCGGCTGTGTGGGCGAGAAGGTTAAATCTCTGGTGTCAAGCGTATCACGCTTCAGAATTGGATTTCATCGCGATGCGCGTTACAAGCTTCACACACACACACACACACACACACTTGTAACATAAATAGACATTATTGTGACGGGGTCAAATGACTATAACGCTGCGATCGTCGTGATTTTAAGGCTTCCGCGATGACGCTCCAACTGAATGGTCGTCGTTTCTAGCGATAGCGCTGTCAGCGATAATTATTACACCGTTTCCGTGTTGTAAAGTAATCGTTACACAACACGCAATGTCGAGATTAATTTGACGGGCGTGGAGATTGCGACTAATGATAGCGTCCAGCGGCCGGTGAATTTTAGTCTGGACGGAAATACACGACCGAGGTTTTCTAGAGATTTCACTTACGCTGATATCACTTATGGAGCACCAGCACTGTAAAACTAGGCATCGGAATATGTGTATTAAAATTGAGTGTTAGTGTGTTATTTTGACACATTAGCTGGTTAGTTAAGGCACTGAGTGCGGCAAAATAATTCGTTTTCTGTGACAAAAGTGTGTTTTAATAACACACTTGTCTGTAACACACCATGTAAAACACTACAGAAACGTGTTACTTTTCCTCAACAATCCCGTGACACACGTAGAGTGTGTTATTTAGACACAGAATGATAATTGAAATACACTGAGAACACACTTGGATGATATATTGGATAACACACCATGTCACGTAACACACTGGTAATGTGTTCATGATAACACACTAATTTTGTTAACACACGTTTAACGAACATACATATATGTATTAAAAAAAATACATACGAATACGAGAAAAACACAAATCGACAAAATCGGCGATTTCTCGCCTTCAAAAAAGTATTGTGTCTATCGAACAAATTAATGTAACAATAACTTGCTTTCATATTATTACAGACCAAATCATTAATTATATGTTATTAATTATTATATGTTTAAACGTAATATGTTAAATAACGCGTGACTTAAAATGGAAGAAATGTGTAAAAAAGATTCATTCACACGCTTGTGCATTTCAAAATAACACTTGGATTTGCAATGTTGCTCAATTTACCTCACTTACACTTGAAGTGTGTTATTTTGATATACCTTCGTAACACATTTGAGGTATGATATTTTAATATACTTTCATAACACACTGAAAGTGTGTTATTTTAATACACCTAACCATTAACTAACACACATATAAACGATTATATTTAACACATACACAAATATGTTCTTTTAACATACATATATGTGTTAGTTTAATTTGCTGAATTTGTATGTCTAAAATGGAGACATACCTTAACACGCTTCAAGCATGTTATTGTAACACACTTCAGTTTACAGTGAGTGTTGTCTGGAATCGCATGAATTGCTCATCGGTTGTCGCAAATGTACGCGTTTTCTGAAATTGACTTTAAGTCCATGGCGTCAGCTGGTTAATCTCACAAAGGACAAATTATACAAAGTAGCGATTTCCTCGATGGGTGAGGATCTCTCCTCAATACCGGAAGCGTTCGCTTATTTTGCATCTCGAGTGGCTCATCGTCGTCGCATTCAGATATTGCCGTCACGCTTTGTACTCCGTTACGATCCTCGATAAAAGTCAACTCACCGTTTCGAGAGACTTTTGGGAAAAAAGTCTTCCGTGACGCAATCAATGAAGCGAAATCGATTGTTGCTTCAGTGAAACGGCTTTCGGGCGTTCGCATGCATGGCGTTCGCTGTAACGACGTTCCATCGCCGACGGGACTGGCCGGTCTTATGCATAGGAAAGCGATTGATCCGGCGCGTTTTTGTTAGTCGTAGGAACCGTTTCTAAATAACCATTGCTAAATAACGACGGTGGCGAAATTCCCCCGGCGAAATGAAGGCTGCCGCCCGCTATATAAACTCTCATCGATATCGACAGATGTATCATTCGCATTTTGGTATCAGCGAGCATCGAAAACATGAGCACGAAGGTTCGTATCCGTAAAAATGCTTCGTTACGCCGGTTCCCGATTCATCATTAATCGCTCCCGATTACTACGGTCTACAACCGCCATTTCCGGCTACGTAATATTTGACAGAAAAATCTGCGCGTGAGAGAAGGCAATGTTCGATTGTGATTTTCCACGCGCGCACAATCTTTCATCGATTTTAATCAAAACCCACGGAATATAATTATCTCTCAAATACTATCGTTTCCCACTTTAGTCTTCCGTCGAATCCACATCAACGTAATTCGCTGATCGCACAGGGCGCAATCATAATCCGCAAAGTGAATAGCTCCCGCTTGCGGTCGATTGTACACGGGAGATCGAAACGTTGCTACATTCTAAGATACTAAAATTTGTTCCGCGCGCTGCCCGGGCGAAAGCGCATGTAAATGACAACAATTTGTCGGCAGCTCCTACTATCGGCCGTATTGGCCCTCGTAGCGATCCAGAGTGGATTGGCAGGACACGCTCACAGCTTCGCGCATTTTCACGGACCGGTCGAAGGGCACGGACACGAAATAGTTGTTCACGATAAGCATGGCCATCAGCATGTGGACTACCTCGCGCATCCCAAGTACGAGTTTGCGTACGGCGTCGAGGATCATCACACTGGCGATTACCACGGGCAGAAAGAACGCAGAGACGGTAAAGTGAATCCGCGCGAAACGTCGCGCGTACAGCAAACTGTTGTTGACAAACGCAGTTTGTGAAAATGCCATCGACGCGCAAAATTATTCGATAATTGCGGATTGACATTGTTTGCATTGTACATTAGAATGGGTCTGTTTGCGCTGCATAAATTCCCCAATCGATATTATCTGATTATTCTCCGCTGAAGGAAAACCGGATATTGCCGTTTCGTGTATGCCTGCTCTACTGCAACATTCAAATTAGAACGCGGCAAGCAGCGCGACTTAAGTTTCGTGAAATATTCACAACACACGTATGGAATCGATTAAAATTTATATAACCGTGCAAAGTGCTGTTGAATTTTTTACGACGCCCGCGCGCGCGCGCGATTGTGCGAAAAACGCTGCGGTCTAAATGTTACTAAAGTCCCCGAACATTTCGATCAAAGTTTGTTTGGGTGAACCTTTGCATGCGAAAGATATTTCCAAGCGCAACTCCGAATCGCAAAATGCTTAAACTTGTCGAGCCGCGTCTTTTTCTTCTCTTTCTCTCTCTTCCTCTCTCTCTCTCTCTCTCTCTCGCTCTCTTTCTGGTCGATCGTATATTTTTGCGTCCTTGTCGATGCTCGACGCCGGCGATGTCGCAGTTAAACGTTATAAATGATGAGGTTAGATTACACGACAGTACGCTTTAATGCGTTCCATTTTAATTAAACACCACGGCGGTCCCTGCATTGACGTAATATAATATGTGGGCGGCACATGCATTACAGTAATATCGATGACACATTCGCATATCTAATTTTGAACAATTAATGCACATTTGCGGGCGTCCGCCGTAGCGGCCGGCGCGTTGTCCGCCACCGCGTTCATATTACCGCACAAGTGCTTTTTTCGTTTCCAGGGAAAAAAGTTGTCGGCGAGTACACCATCAAAGAGCCGGGCGGCAACATGAGAACCGTAACTTACCATGCCGATCCACATGGGGGATTTTTTGCTCATGTTCACAACTCCGGCGGTAACAATCACCATGGCGGTACATACGGCGGTCATGGCCACGGCCACCACTGAAGAGGACGCGAAACTTTAATTACTTCAATTAATTAACGGCCGATTATACACGACGTTTGTGTTGCCTCCCCATTGTGTTCTCTTATGTTGTGTTCTTTTATAATTCTTGTAAATATACGTTTCTCGCTCCTCCCCAATTTATACGCGTGCGTTTCGCTCTCGTTCAGTTCGCGGAGCAATTCGCGCATCACGTGTGGGAAGTCGAAATGTCCTCAGATGGCTGGTTTTTTCGCAGTACGAGCATTCAAAGAAAGTAATTTTTAGGAATAATTTGAGGAATAATTTTCAGATCACTATAGCTTTTGAACTGTGGCAGATATTTGAATTTTGCGAGTTGTGCTGAATTATGCTAGCTGAGTATGTACAACAAGATACGACTAAGCATGTTCTGACAATTGCACAGCTTGCAAGAAAATTGACAATTTTGGTATTGTGCCGCGGATCGCGGCACAAACGAAGCACAATGCAGCACAATTCGAAAAGACACAAAATTCGAAAAGTGCGCGCCCAACTTTACACACGTTCGCGCATCTGCGAAATTGCGGGAAAGGGAGAAGCCACACGCTAAAAGTGTAACCTGTGCCTGTATTATCCGCGGTCGAGAATGCTATATAGTACGTGGAAATTTGTATCGCGGAAGTAATGCAGCAAACTTGCTCATTTGCGGAAATGCCGGTATATGCTTCCCGTACAAAAGTCATGTTGAAGCATTTCAAAGAAGCATTTCGTTCGAGGAAGCGCTCCTTGCTTTTAAAAGTTACCATACACCGCCGTGCGTGCACAAGCGTGTACAAAGTTTCCCGGAACTATCTCGCATTGTCTTTCGGTTGTATAAGAAAATTCAAAATTAACGTCTCTCCGGCAAAAATTTCATCGCGTAATACGGCCACCAGCGATCCTTACGAACGCTCAAGTTGATAACCACGGTAGATAACCTCGCAAGATCGACGATCAAAGTAAGAGCAATTTATCCGTCATTTTCTGAAACGACGGCGACATTAGCAGGTGCGCGTAAAAGTTCGATAGACTCGACGTATATCGTGCGATAAAATTAGCCAGCTATCAGTATCTACTCCTCCGCCATTGTTCCCGGAATAGTCGCAAAATCGCATTTCATACTTCCATCGAACGTTATTACGACTTTGCTTATGTAATCGAAGGCGTTATTACTTTGGGAATAGTGACGGCAACTGGGAAGTGTAGGCAGGACAAATAAATGGACAGATCGCATGTACACAGGTCTAGCCCAATGAATAAACGAGAGAAAGAGAGAGAGAGAGAGGGAGAGGGAGCGAGAGAGAGAGGGAGAGGGAGAGAAGAGTTCTAAGCTTCGACGAACATATTGGGTCACGTATTGAGAACCAGCACGATCGCTATCGCACGAATAGACCGGCAGAAATTGAATTGTACTCGCGGAAGCTATACCGGGCGCCGAATAGCGTGTAATTTCCATTATCGCATTAGAGGCTGCAAGTCGAAGAAGCGATTTGAATGACGTGAAAGATCCACGGTTGGCGACTTGAGTCGCGGCTTCGTCCCCGCGGGCGAGTTTACATTAAATTAGCGGACGTTCATGGCGGGAGGAAACTCGCGGCAGAAAACGATCAGTGTAATACTTTAATCTCTACGCTCGTACGTTTGATATAAACCTCTTTGATACCGGGTAATTCGCTAATTCTTCCGCCGGCAATTTTCTCCGCAAATGCCCCGCGGCTATTTCCATATCTTTCCATGTACGCGCAGGTCGTCTTGCGATGTATGTAATACAAACGAGAGTCGTCTCGCGTTTGCGAGATCAGTCCGCGAGACGGCTGCGCGATCGCGGTGAATGATTGACGGAAACAACGAACGACGACGGTTCCGGTAAATACACTGCTCAAAAGAATCATGGCATAAATAATTTATTGCCGAAAATTGGCCAACTTTGACTGGCGATTACAACGCGAAAAATTATTGTAGACTAATAATTTTCTTTTTCAAAATGAAGCTTGAAGTCTCTACTTTAAGAATGTATCTCCATTTTTTGCATGCGGTACACCCCTACCCCTATAACCTCCTGACATCTGAGGCCATGTTTGGTATACTGAAAATTGCAAAGTTTGACGGAATGCACGGACGTAGACAATTTTTTTTCGGGGACGCCGTTTGCATCGTCATAAAGTTCAAATCTTCCCCTTCAATTTGAAAGAAAAATGGAGTCGCTACAATTTTTTTTCGCAAAGTTACAGCCCTTCAAAAATATCGTTGTTTTTGGCTTTCGGGCCAAGTGTGCACGCATGCACTGTAAAACTAGGCATCGGAACATGTGTGTTAAAATTGATTGTTAGTGTGTTATTTTGACACATTAGCTGGTTAGTTAAGGCACTAAGTGCGGTAAAATAATTCGTTTTCTGTGACAAAAGTGTGTTTTAATAATACACTTGTCTGTAACACACCATGTAAAACACTACAGAAACGTGTTACTTTTCCTCAACAATCCCGTGACACACGTAGAGTGTGTTATTTAGACACAGAATGATAATCGAAATACACTGAGAACACACTTGGATGATATATTGGATAACACACCATGTCACGTAACACACTGGTAATGTGTTCATGATAACACACTAATTTTGTTAACACACGTTTAAACGAACATACATATATGTATTAAAAAAAATACATACGAATACGAGAAAAACACAAATCGACAAAATCGGCGATTTCTCGCCTTCAAAAAAGTATTGTATCTATCGAACAAATTAATGTAACAATAACTTGCTTTCATATTATTACAGACCAAATCATTAATTATATGTTATTAATTATTATATGTTCAAACGTAATATGTTAAATAACGCGTGACTTAAAATGGAAGAAATGTGTGAAAAAGATTCATTCATTTACACGCTTGTGCATTTCAAAATAACACACTTGGATTTGCAATGTTGCTCAATTTACCTCCATAACACACTTGAAGTGTGTTATTTTGATATACCTTCATAACACATTTGAGGTATGATATTTTAATATACTTTCATAACACACTGAAAGTATGTTATTTTAATACACCTAACCACTAACACACATACATGGTTCGTCACTTCCACAGTAATTATTGACTGCGAAGTAATCTCCAGTCAAAGTTGGCCAAGTTTCGGCAATAAATTATCTATGCCATGATTTTTTTGATCAGTGTATTTGCTCGCTGGCGTAGGCATATCTAAGACGCAATTTGAGCCGGTAGCTCCGAGAGATCCGATTAAAAGGATGAAATTAAGACGCGGTTCTTTGAGTCAAAAGAGACGCCGCCAAGCAGAGAGAGAGAGAGCGCGTCGTATCTCGGAAAAGACGAGCGCTGAGCTTAAATGTCGGCCAAGCTATACGCAAGGCGTAGCTGCTCAACGTCAGACAACATATTAATTTTTCAAAGCGCATCAGAGATGCGGATGAAAATTAAGAGCCGGTGCATGCGCCATCGGCGTCCGTCAAAGGCGAGCATTCTGTCGTACGTCAAGGGGCATGAATGCGTAAAAGGACTTGTGGCGTGCAGCAAAAGATGTCCGTTCGTTTGCCTGTTCTGTGCCGAATGAACGTTAACAACGTTAATTACAACGATCGAGGCTCATCGTCGGACGATATCGAACGACGTGAGGCAAACACGTCGAATATAATCAACGTGCGCGTCCGAAAATTCGATACTTTCGGTTTTGCGGCAACTCCTCCGCGGCTATAATTTCGCGGAAAAATCCAGTCCGGGATAAATCAGCGCGAATGTACGGCGTACTCGAGCTCTGTATATTACGCGAATAATCATGATTGATAACACGAGAGGAAGAAAACTACGGGATGTGATATATGAAGAGGGAAAACATACGGCGCACACGTGGTTTCAATGATTCCATTTATGTGAACGATAATACATCCGATCTCCGTGTATCGAGGCTTTCTTGTCGTTCCTCCCTCCCCCGCCTCCCTCTCTCTCTTTCTCTCTCTCTCTCTCTCTCTCTCTCTCTCTCTCTCTCTCTCTCTCTTTCTCTCTGTTTATTTTCTGCTCCTTCCTTCCCGTTTCTTTTTCTTCTCCTTTTTTCATAATTCACTACCACTCGCTCACGCGGGCGCGGTTACAAAAGGGCCTTCCTTCGGCTCGCCCTTATTCACGAAAATGATAAATGAAATCTCGTGCGCCCGCGCTCGGGCCAACGCGGAAAAACAGACAATTCCGAAACTACTTCCTCCGCGGAGAAGGTAATTTTATCAGCGCGTATTATTTCGGTCAGTATTGAGCCCCCTCTCTTCCTTCCCTTCCGATCCTGATTTCTCAAAGTCTCGACGCCGCCTCGCGAACACCGGCTAATCCAGCGGGGGGATCCATCCGTCCGCTGAGCGCATTGTTCGGCTCCCGCGAGTTCGCGCTAAATGGGAGCAGCGTCGGCGGAAATCTGCTGAAACGAAGGAACGTTTGAACCCTCAATTTCCGAAACACACCGGGAGAGATCTCGAGTGGCCCGATCTCACGTCGATACGTTGGTAGTTGGCTTATAGGCGAATTTTTGACCAAGAAACCAAGAGATAGATCAAAAGCGCCAGGATTACAAAGGACTCGAGAATGCCTAAACATTCCAAACGTCTCTCTCTCTCTCCGTTATACATCCGGTCTTTGACAGGAGGAGCAGCACGGCTGAATTAGACTGCGGCTCGTACCACAATGTGTAATTTTAATGTAAAATTTTACACGTACCGCTGCGTGAATGCGGTACGCTCGAGGGAACTTGAGGGATTTAAAAAAGCGCATAAATGCGAGGCGCGCGTATTCTCATTAGGACGTCCCGTATTAACAAGGTTTTTAGTTGGACCTCGGGCGTCCGGTCGCAGCACCCTGTCGAGGGTAGTCACATCCAGACGTCGCATCACGTCAGGGGACGGAGCGAGTTGTCGGGAACAGGCGGTGGCAATAATGCGAGATGGACGTGATGGGGTGCGATCGATTTTCTCGATCTCGGGGGAATGGAGTCCTTATTATTCCGACGGGCGAGGCGGCGTTTCCAAGGTGGCGTTGTTATTCGACTCCAGCCGGCGTGGTTCATTCCCCGAAGCCACACGGCCGCGCGCGCGCCCGCGCCACCCCTTCTTGCTCGCTTATTTCCTTAGCCTACTTCGTGGTCGTAAAAATCCAATTCATCCCAGCACGCCGGACAGAAATAAGAGTGTTCCGGAAATGTCATCCCCCGCC